GCCCCCTGCCCACTGCTCCCCGCTCGCCCTCCCCTGCCCGCAGGTCCCCGCGGCTTTGCGCCTGGCAATGCTCCCCTCTGTGTCCCCACGCCGCTCACGCGTACTGGCAAGGAGGGGAGAGAAGGAACAAACCGAAAAAAAACCSCAAAACAAACTTACTAGCCCCGAACGTACAAAATGCATGGCCCTTTTGGCAGTTTAACTCGGCCACTAGCAATCGCTGGCTGGTGGGGGTGGGGGGTCAGAAAAAGGGGCACCGTGGAATATAAAGCGAGCAGCTTTGAAAGTATTTGTTGCCAGGCACAAACATAACGGGAAAGAGAAGCAACACTGGTTACCAAATTATCCCACCAATTCCAGGTTGTCTAGGAAGACTGGATAAAGAGAGGGGAGAGGGGAGGAGTCAATGAGCAATATTTCTTTCTCATCACATTTCCTTCACATCATAATATGCTCTAGTCAATCTGTAACAATTCATAACAGAAAGTGGCATTGCAGAGTCTTTCCAAATGTTTGTCTTCTTGAAACACAGCATTTATTTATTAGATTGTTTGTCTGTAGTGCCCCTCACTTGACTATCATGATTCATTATGTCGCACAATTTTAAAATGAGTTATAGGAAAGGATGAGAAGGAAGTAAAGACTGAGACTTAAAGAAATACTGATGTCTTGGACTATGCCTACCAGCATTAGCTTTTAAACCTAGCAGTGGTAATCTGAAATGGGCAGAYCCTGTTTGTTGAAGGGCTGGGATACAAATATGAAGGTTAGTTCTAGAAAGTGTCTGCTGGGACTGAGAAACAGAAGATGAATTGATTTTTGCTCTGATTATGCAAGCAGAGGTTCTCAGAATCTGAGTAGCTAACTCAGGTGAAGCCTTTGAAAAAGGCATTTGATGAGTGATTGTAACACTCACCTCAGAAGAGCACCCAGAGGTGCCTGTGCCAACAGCCGCTTCAGCTGGCTGTGGAATGTTTAACAATTTACAGGTCTGCAGTTCAGCCCTACAAAATACAATAAATCAGTCCAATTCTTTTTCCTCTCCTAAATTGGTCTTGTACAAATTCCCTCAGTGAGTCTGGTGAAATACTGCATTCTGCCCAAGGGTATTCGGACCTAATTATGTGAAACTTCTTTAGCTCATGGGAGCAGGCAGGGGGATCTGTAGCATTTCCAATGAGCAGAATTGAGAGTGTAAAGAAGGCAAATTTGTTCATAAGGGAGGAAAAACACATCTGGGTGTGACAAAAATCAGGGGAGATAATATGTGCAAAACCGG